GGGGGGGTGGGAAACGGGGCAGGGGAACGGGCGATGGGGGCAGAGAAGGCAGCCGGCCAGAGAGATCCGTGTCGCGCAATTGTCGGAGCTGGAATGCCCTTCCCCGTGTGCGGCTGCTCTGTGTTTACACACAAGCGCTCCCAATTCTTCCACTGTTGTGGGTCCTGCTTGGAGGGGCCCTCGGGAGGAAGAGCCACACAAGGCTTCCCCACAGCTAGAGGGGAATCCCAATGGAAGGGGATATCTGTGGGGGTGGGGCTCTCTGAGCTGGGTGGTTTTGTTGCAGACGTTTCGTGACCCAGCTAGGGAACATCATCAGTGCTGGAAGGAAGGAGGAGGAGGAGGAGAAGGAAAGGGACTATGGAGGCCTTGGGGCTCTCTGAGCTGGGTGGTTTTGTTGCAGACGTTTTGTGACTCAGCTAGGGAACATCATCAGTGCTGGAAGGGGGGAGGAGGAGGAGGAGGAGGAAGGCTGTGGGTCCTTATTGCTCTCTGTGCCGGGTGCTTTTCTTGCAGAGGTTTCGTGACCCAACTAGGGAACATCATCAGTGCTAGAAGGGAGGGTGGTTGAGGAGGAGGAGGAGCAGGAGGAGGAGGAGGAGGAAAGGGACTATGGAGGCCTTGGGGCTCTCTGAGCTTGGTGGTTTTGTTGCAGACGTTTCGCGACCCAGCTAGGGAACATCATCAGTGCTGGAAGGGGGGCGTTCAGAGAAGAGGAGGAGGAGGAGAGGGAAGAAGAGGAAGGGGAGGAGGCGGAGGGGGACTGTGGAGTCCTTGGTGCTTCTTTCTTGCAGGCTTTTCACCCCTCAATATTGCGCAGATGTTCCCAGTCGGGTCGTGAGATGTTTGCAAGAAAGCTACCGAACTCGGAGACCCCCAAGGACCCACACCCCACGGAGCCTTCCTCCCCCTCCTGTCCTTGACTCCCTTCCAGGATGCTTCCCAAAACAACAGGTGCACCTCACCTTCGGCTCCTCCCAAAGATACACCTGCCCGCATCGTTTGGGACACGGAAACCCTCGCCCAGGCAGAGCCGACAATGCCGAAGCTCTCATTGTTGCTGACACAGATTGTCCCTGTGAGGTTTTTTTTTCTTTTTCTTATCTCACCTTAACAAGGAATAAAGCAGAATTGCGGAATTCTGAGATGGAAAGTCATCGGATGACAAGATGGAAAGTTGCACGACAGGACCTGCTAGTGCGTCAGAGGACAAGGGAGCCTTCAAAGCCACAGAGGCCGAAATCCCGGCTCTGAAAAAGCCAACTAGCGACCACTCTCGGGCAGGCACGGTGACAGCGTACGAAAAGGTGGGTCCTATCTGAGGGGGCTGGACTAGATGACCTCTAGGATCTGCTCCACCTCTACGATTCTGTGAAAAAGTGGAGGATTCCCGGCGAGACCAAGAAAAGCGCAAAGGCCTCAACAGACAGCAAGTTGTGTTGAGAAAGGTGCTCCGCAAGAGGAGCTGCGCCAGAACCGACAGACTGGCGACACAGCAACAAAAGCCCCCCAGAACTTCCTCAGGGGTCCCCAAACTTGGGCCACTTTCAGACTGGTGGACTCAGCAGAGCTGGCTGAGGAATTCTGGGAGTTGAAGTCCACAAGTGGCCAAGTTTGGAGGCCTCTGTCCTACATAAACCGAAAGGAGGTTCCAGGAGGGATAAAACAGGAGGCCTCTACAACATCCGGCGTAAAACGTTGGAGGTTTCTTAAGAGGGGATTGGGCAGGCCTTTGAGTCTCCCGCTGGAGCAAAGGGTTGGACTAGAGGACCTCCAAGGCCCCTTCCCACTCTCTTGTTAGTCCGTTGTAAACCACACTCCTGCGCACCAACGACGGGTCTGAAGGCCCGATGAAAACCCCTTCATTTCACAAGACACGGACAGATTTCACCACCGTTTCAACGGGGAAATAGCGACCGCCTCGGGTTGAGCCGAGTCGGCGGGACAATTCCTGGAAGCCTGGACCTCAGACAAAACCAGCCATCCACAGGCACAGAGAGATAAACAACATTTGCATGCGGTTCCGAGGAACCAGAGAGGAAACCGAAAGGGCCAGAACACCTCCTCACCTGTGATCAGCACCCAGATAAACAGAGATGGAAACCGAGATTTACCTGAGGTAGACCAACCCTCCAGAAGTAAACAAAAGTCCCAAGCAAGGAACTGCCGATTCAGACAAACAAGGTAACCATAAACAACAACCTACTCAAGGAACCACCGACAATACGCCCACCAATGGGGCAAATCGCTTGCAGGTAAACAGGGAGCAAAACCCCTTCTGCTTCCGGCACTGGTGATGTTCCCTAGTTGGGTCCTGAAATGTCTGCAAGAAAATCACCAGGCTCAGAGGGCGCCAAGGACCCCACAGTCCTTCCTCCTCCTCCCTCCCTTCCTTCTGCAAACCCCACTCCCTTCTAGCACTGATAATGTTACCTAGTTAGGTCATTCAACGCCTGGAAACAAACCACCCAGCTCCCGTCATTTCAACCCTGAGCTATGAATCGTCTCTCCCGTCAGGGCTGGAGAGCTGGACGGGGGTCTCTCGGCCTTGTGGCCCTGAGTGTTGGGGGGCCGGGCTCCCTGGGGCAGCGGCAGGCCTTCCACACCCAGCCAGGGTGGGGATGCCGGTGCCCAGGTCCTGACGCAGCTCCGGGGCCTCCTTTCACCTTCTTTCCAAAAGAGACTGGACGGCCTATTGGTCAGAAACGGTGTCGGGTCTTCCGCTTGGACTAGATGGCCTCCAGGGTCCCTTCCAACCGGGACCCACTTTGCAGGGGCGATGCTGGGGCCTCCCCCGGGGACATGGAGCTGCTCAGCTTCTCCGTCTGCCTCTCGCCGGCCGGAGAGGTAAGGAAACCCATTTTCCAAACTCTCTGCCTGCCGCCTGCCAACGGCTCCAGGAAGATGGGATCAGCCGCCTGCTGGGCGCTCTGCCTCCAGGGCCCAAACAGGAGGCGGTGTGTGAGTGTGAGTGTGTGTGAGTGTGTTTTCCTTTTTTCGCTGGGAAAGGTGTGCTAATTACACCTTTCCTGCACAACAATGGCCGCGCCCTCTGAAAGTGCGCTTTCTTCCCGCTGCATGGGAGTCGCAAGGGCCTTCCCTCCCCTCTGGCCAGCTGGCGAGGAGGCACCGTCCCACAGGCCGCGAGTGAGTCACCCGACACACAACCTGGTCTGCAAGCCAAAAAAAAACAAGGAGAGGGGGGATGCTGGGAAGAGGAAGCAGGCCCTGGGACCCCGGTCATCCGGACGGATGGACTCAGGAGGAGAAGCAGGAAGAGGTCTGGCTTGCAACGTTGGCTCTGCTGCCTGGGGGATTCTGGGAGTGGAAGTCCACCAGTCCTTGAGTTCCAAAGTTTGGACCCTGCTGGCGCAGGATCTCCTGCTTAAGCAGTGGGTTGGACTAGTTGACCTCCAAGGGTCCCTATGGTGGCTAGAGAGTTCTGGGAGTTGAATTCCTCCAGTCTTAAAGTGGCCAAGTTTGGAGACTTAAATGGGAGATGGACTGTTGGTTAAAAAAAAAAAAAAAAAAATTTGCAAAAAAAAAAGAAAGTGAATTGCTGTAAGTCGTTAAGTGAAACAGGGGTCATGTGACCCGGGGAGACCTTGGCCCCACTGAGTTTTCCCCAAATTTGGGATTTGTTTTTTTAAATTATACTATACGTTAATCATAATAATTGTCTCATAATTCTACTGTATTGCAGTATATTGGGTTATTGTGTTGTGTTTGTTGTGTTGCATTGTACTGTAGTCCTCGGCTTACAACCACAATCGAGCCCCCGATATCTGTTGCTAAGCGAGACATTTGTTCAGTCAACTTTGCCCCGCTTTGCGACCTTCCTTGCCACAGTTGTTAAATGAATCGTTGCAGTTGTTAAATGGGTACCGCGGTCCTTAAGCGAATCTGGCTTCCCCATTGACTTTGCTCATCAGGAAGATCGCAAAAGGGGGTCACGAGGTGACCCTGGGACACTACGACCGTCGTAAATGTGAGTCGGTTGCCCAGCGTCTGATCACGTGTCAGTGGAGAAGCTACAACAGCCGTTAAGTGTGAAAACCGGTCATAACTTTTTTCAGTACCATTGCAACTTTGAGTGGTCACTAAACGAATGTTTATAAGTCAAGGACCATCTGTATTACCTTGCCAGATCCCCTCGAACACCTGCACTGAAAAAAGTGGCTTATGACCGTTTCTCACACTTATGTCCGTTGTAGCATCTCTGTGGCTGGCATGAATTCAGACCCTTGGCTCCTGACTCATGTTTACGGCGTCCCGGAGGGGTGACACGTGATCCCCTTTGGTGACCCAGAGCCAGATTCACTTAAGAACCGGGTCTGACTCACTTAAGAAATGCAGTGATTCGCTTAGCAACAAATGGCAAGAATGGTCGTAAAATGGGGCGCAGCTCACTTCACAATTGTTTCACTTGGCCATGGAAATGCCTGGCTCAATTGTGGTCGTAAGACAAGGACCTGCTGTACGTTACATTCACAATATTTATGATCTTGTTCTATTATTTCATCGATGTGCTTAGAGCAGGTGGCTCCCACCTTGGCCGCTTTAAGACCGGTGGACTTCAACTCCCAGAAGGCCTCAGCCAGCTGGCCAAGGAATTCTGGGAGTTGTAGTCCACCGGT